ATATTTTAATTTGCTTAAACTTTTAAAAACGGCTGGATCCAAAAGCAGCTACCCTTAAAGACACTTGATGGCACCATGAAGCCACCCTACAAAGCACGTGCCAGATTAACACTGCCAGCGGAGCACACCAGAGCAGAACTCTCACTGTTACCCAGAACCTTGTTTCATACACAGTCAACTGTGGTACCGAAAGCCAGGTCACAGATATGGACCCTTTTTCCCATGTCATGAAGGAAATCTATCAGTTTCTCCCTTAAAAATCATATCTAGCTCGGACTGACTATAAGTTTTCAAGTCATAATATAGTACTGAGTTGAAGAAACCGCCTTCAAGTACCCCAGCTTGTATTTTACACAGCAGCACATGTAGCTGGAGTGCAGAAGCTGGGTTAGAATCGAGGGGAATTCTAACTCTCACATCCATATCACTTCACTATTTTGAACCTTTTGTGCCCACCTTACCTATTCTTCAGCCTCAAGAGTGCTTATTATTTGAGTCCACAGTTTTATAGGATGCCACTTGTCTGAGATGCTGGAGGCAAACAGCCATCAAAGAACTTTCTAGCAAGTCACTGCTGCTCATCATAAACTACAGCAGCCCCGGCCTCCAGCTGTGCTGTAGCATCTGTAATCCTGGTGCAGACACAAGAGTGATTAGAGGATGAACCACCAGCAGCAACCAAGGTAGCTGTGGGGCTCATGGGCATTTATTTGAATGTCTTCTCGCCCTGTGCTATAGAATTCCTTATGAATAATTATTTCTCCACAGCCCTACAAAAGGGAAAAATGAGTGCTATTACATTATAAATGCATTTAATAAATGAAGCTTCTCAAGAGTATTACTTTATTTTTAAGGAAATAACATATACTTAAAAGTCTCAGTTTCTTAAAATGTTATTATTCATGACACATTGAACACCCAAATGATAATCAACTATAACTAAAATTGAATCTCCCATTAAGAGGCAGAAATGTCAGTCATGAAAGAAGGGAAAAATATTTAAAAAACAAACACTTGATAAAAATAAAAATTTTCAATTTTACATTAGTTACATTAAAAAGCAGCCTGCAAAATAAAAATGAGGATTATCATGGCTGTGAACCTCAGGGGCTACTGACTGCTCAACTTCACTGTCAACTTTATCTTCAGGATCAAAGTACTTAACATCTTTACATATCTATGCTCTTCAGCAAATCATGGACCTGAAAACTTAAAATCATGACCGTGTCTCAGAGTTTTCATTAGACTATTTTATAATTAATTTTGCTTTGATTTTCTTTTCACCAAATTCCTTCAAAGAATGACTGTAACCAATGATAATAAAAGATAAAAAGACTCTAAAGGATGTTGCTTATGTTTCCTATCATGGTATGTGCCTGGATTTAGAGCCATCTGTATCAATAGTACCAGACTGCAGATCTTAATCATGTTATTGTTATGTTTTGGGTCAGTATATCCATTGCACACATACACAAAAATCCATGTTCCTTTTTTTTTTATGTACTTCACTTGTCTTTTCTAAGTATTGCTTATTTATACTTAATTTCTTACTGTTATGTATTCAATTATCTCATCTATATTATATTCTTTCACTGTGTTTAGATTTAAGTAAACTTGAAAATTGGAAGTTTTTTTATCTATTTACTGATTCTATGAATGTTGAATTCTGGGACACTCTTTTTCTATTTTGCTGATGTAACTAGGGATCAGATTCATTCTTTATATTGTTACATTAGAATTTGTTAGAGACAATACTGTAAGTTAAAGGTTCTATGTTCTTCCAATTGAGTGACTGTCCAGGTTACCTAATCTGAGATTCTCAATTTTCCCATCACTAACATGATGATGGTAAGCACAACCACATCATCTTTGAAGTGTTATCATTATGCCAAAGGATAAATGTATAAACATCACACAATATTTTACCCATAGCAAACCTTCAGTTAATACTAGTAATTCTATCCATCAAAATTGCTTTATTTTGAATGTAGATAAAACATATTTAGGCTTGTTAATATATTGACCTTAATTATAGTATTAATCCTTTTACAAGGATGGTATCAAGACTACTCTGAGTATCTTTCATGAAAACGTCATATTAAAGCCAGATACAAGCAGAAGTGTATGAGACACGAACTACTTTGACCTTTTGAGGCCACAGCAGCCACTGAGAAATACAAAGAACAGGACATCAAAGGCAGTACTGCATTATGAGGTGAAGAGCATTAAAAATGGAACAATCAAGTCTAGTTTTCATGTAGTGCTATGTCCTATGTGTCATAAGAGTACCTACATGCCAAGAACATTTACATTGCTAAATGTAAGGTCTTTTTTGAAACTAAAGTTCAGACCAAACCATCAACATTGTCTTCTCTGGTGTATTCTTTTTACACTGAAAAATATATCTATTTGTCACAGAGGCTTGATTTTATAGCTGCTTCTTTATTTCAAAGATATGTAAAAAATAATACTAAGTGATTATTCATAGCTGCTACTTAAGAAGGAGACCAAAAAAGTGTTTAGCACTGGATGACTGAAATTACCAGTTCTGGTGTGTGGGAGTGTCACACACGACCATAGTGACCAGAGTTCCAAGATGTTTGTTTGTTTGTTTGTTTTTTGGAAGGCCTAATTTAAATTCTTTTTTTTTTCCTTTATACATACCTACGGTTAGACAACTGCTCTCCACTTTAGAGTCAGAAAATAATAGAATTGTGTCTATCAAATGTAAAACACAAGCTACAAATACCTCCCCACAAAAAAACAAAAACCCAAAACAAAACAGACAAACATCAGAAGCAAATCTTCTTTGTAGGGAAAATATAGAATCACATTTAAATATCTGGGGTAGCATCTTGGTGAATGTGTGTGTGTATGTGTGTGTGCTGGAGGGGGCTGCTGTTTTGGGGGCAGTAGAATTTCTATAGAGTACAGTGGCATGAAAACAGTTTTTAAAAAAGGAACCTTTGTCTAAGCCTTTTGTAGCAGATGGCTTTAAATTCCAGGTTGAAGAAATCTGATTATTTTGTAAATAAAAGGGCATAATTTGAGACTGATAAACAGGATAGTAACATAAAATGCCAAAAATATGGGGAAGCATGGTGTTTGAAGATCACTTTCTCTAAACCCTGATCTTACTAGTGAGGATACTGGGGTCTGTGGAAGTAATTCAGCCAGCTCAGACGCCCCATTAAACCATGCCCTATATATATGCATTCCTCGGTTTAGAATTTAAGTAATTTCTGTTTAGAATTAACAATTGAAAATGGGGCTGACAAGGGTAAAGACTTATGTGTTGAATGGTCTTCAAATAGAAACATAAACTTTAACTTTCCTTCTCACTGTGAAGCTTTTTGCCAAACTGAAAGACTGACTCACTGCTATTTTTTAAATCTGCTTCATGCTTTTGCAGCTCATTATAAAAGAATGAAGCTGCTTTCAGACATTCAGAGCCAAAATATTTGGGGGGAGGTAGGGTAAAATCAAAGATGAGCTTGTACAAAATTGCATTCCTGCTGCTTTGTTCTTCATCTTCATTGAAATATCTGAACAAAAACCAAATGTCATCAGCTAGAGATTGCCATAAATCCATTCTCAAGTTCAACAGAAGCCTACCTAGTTCCTAAGTCAAAGCGCGGTGAACAAGCTCATCTCAATAGCAGGGTGAAAGTCCAATCTTGATAGCGGTGGTTGTTAGACTCCAAATTAAACGAGCTATCTGTGTTCTAAAAATCACACTTTTTTCGCCTCAGTATTAAAAAAAATTGCCAGTATACTACAATTGCCCTTTAGAGATATCTCTTTGAAAAGATGAACGACTAAATTGAGGGAAAATATTAAAGCAAAGGAGGGCATAATAGAAGGGAAGCACAGAAAGTTAATCTTTTGAAACTGTTTTTCTCCCAGTTATTCCTTTCCATGTGCTACAGCAGGAGCATTAAGGTGATTAAAAATTATCTGAAATTGTTGGACTATGCTAATTTTCCTGGAATTCACTATATGTGTTTGCGCATTATAGTCTTTCTAAAATGCTAGAATATTTTATGAATGAAATAACTGAAATAAATCATAACCTCGCCAAATACCTGGCACAGAACAAATCTGAATAACCAAATTTTTCGGCTCCTTGAAATCTCAAGCAGACCTGCTACTTCTATAGTTAGATATCCTACAATTGACTTCCGAAGCAGATGCTGAGCAGGTATCTCACTTCAGCCGCGGGAGCTCTGGCAGCACAGGAGGGGTCAGCTGTAGAGACCCAAGTGGGTGTTTAAGAAACTCGCCACGGAGCCTCGGGTCCGGGGCGCGCGGCGCGGTGACGACGATGTCGTCGGTGCCACCGGCCCGCGAGGGGCAGCAGGCGACCGGCCGCGGCCAGCTCGCTCTTCCAGGGTTGCAGCAGGGCCGGGCTCGGCTTCCCCCGGGCCTCCCGGGGGCGTCCTCCGGAGAGCCCGCGCCCGCAGCCCGGGGGAGGCGCGCCAGGCACCGCTCACCAGCCGCCTGCAGGTGACTTCCCCTCCCGCTGGGACGCGGCTGCCGCGCACCGCAGCTTCTCACTGGCGGGCGGCGGCCGGGGGCGGGGGCTGGGAGGAGCGGAGGAGGGAGCGGGGCGAGCACGAGGAGGAGGAGGAGCGGGGGCGAGGACTGCGCGGAGGGGGAGGAGGACGGCGGCCAGGGAGGCGGGCTGTGCGGAGCCGCGGCGCAGCAGACGCCGAGCAGCCCAGAGCCGCAGGAGCGCGCGCGGGGGCGCAGCTCCTCCTCGCCGGCCCGAGCCGCTGCGCAGGCATCTGCGTCCGCCCGGCCCCGCCGCCCGGCCCGCCAGTGGCCCGCCGCGTCCCCGCCTGCGCCGGGCTCCATCACCTCGCGCTTCCCAACTCCCGTCCTGCATCCTCAGCCAGCCTGCCTTTTCCTCTTCTGTTGCACGTTTCATCAGGACTTGGGATGACTTGTCTTCCTGCCCGCTTCGCTCTCCGCGCCTAAGACTGAAAAGGAGCTTTACCGCTCTCCCTGCTGTTCCCGGGGACATTTACACACCGCAACCCTGACAAGTCAGCAGCGGCGAAGGACAGGGCGCGGGACCCTCTGGACACCGGCGATCGAGCCCCGCGCACAGCTGCACTCCGCACCCCAGCTAGAATCGCACCGAGCCCCTCCGAAGGAGCAGAGCAAACTTCAGCCGCCTCGGGGATCCGCGGTCCGGGTTCGGAGGCTCCGCGTGCCGGGGAACACAGCACCCCGAGGGGCTCTCCTTGCCCTTGGTGCGAGGCCCGAGCCGCGGCCGAGCCGCGCGGGGCCGCAGAGGGTAGGACAAGATGCGGGGCTCCGGACCCCGGGGTGCGGGGCTCCGGCGGCCCACGGCCCGCACCCCCGCGTCGCCGGCCGGCTGCTGCTGCGCGCCCCGCAGAGCCCCGCTCTGGACGTGCCTGGTGCTGTGCGCCGCGCTGCGGACGCTCCTCGCTAGCCCCAGCAGCGAAGGTAGGCGGGGGACGGGACCGCGGCTGGGTGAGGCCGCCTGGGAGCGCGGCTGGGCGCCCACTCCGACTTGTGTCACGGTCAGCTGCCCGCCTTCGCTGGCCTTTTCTTCCCTCTCTGCTCTCGGGGTTGCATTGTTTGACCTGAGCCGTGGGGTTGCAGGGCCCCGCACCTGCGATCCGACCTTGTCTGGTTGGGGGCGGGGAAGTTGGAAGTCAGGATGGAGAGGGGTCTGAGACCCGCGCGGGGAAGTTGGGTGGGGTTGGGAAGTGACATTTTGGGTTTCCAAGGAACAGCGAGGAGGATCTCAGGACCGATCCGTGGGGATTTTAGGAATTGGTGTTGGATGTTGGTGATGGGAAGCATTCCTGAGTTGACTGGTGCCTTTTGGGGGCGGGGAAGGGGTGTCCTGCTGGGAGCTGTTATTTAGGGCATCAATAGCTGCTTCTCCGAGGTGTGTGGCAAGAGCATTTACTTATAGGGGGAGGAGAAGGACAAGGAAGAGGAGGAAGACAAGGAGAAGGAGGAGAGCAGGAGGCGCCCCTGCCTTGGGTTGCCCTTTGCTCGGGCTGGGTGCTCCCTATCACCCACGGGGAGGTGGCAGAGCGCGGGAAGGTGTGGGAACCTGCGCGGAGAAGGCGGGTGTAGCTATTAGGAAGTGGGCCCCAGGTCCTGCAGTGGCCACTTTTCAGCTCTACCCCTAGTTCTGCGCTCTGAACCTCAAAGGGCACCCGTGCCCAGCTCAGTAGAGTGGTGCCGGGGGCTGACCAACACCTGTGTGCTCCGACCTTCCCCGGTGGTTCTCGGCCCGAAAGCCTCCTTTCGCCCTCGGGTTCAGGTCCCCCGTCCAGGTCCCGACCCCCCACCCCGCCCCAGCCGGACCGCTCCTCTGCCTGACCGCCGATCCGCTCCGGGGCGCGCTCCCCGCGGGGTAGGGGCGGAGACGCCGCAGCGGCGCTGAAGGATCCGGGAGCCGACCGGAGCTGGGGCGTCCTTCCGAAGGAAGCCAGTGGAAGCCCTCTCCTCGGGCCTGTGGTCGGGCTTTGGGGCCGGGACGCGACGTGGGCGGCACAGAGCCCCGGGGCGGAGAAGGAGAGCGCGGGGACCCCGGGCCGCTGGAGTCTTGCGCGCTCCGGCCCGGACTGCGCTTCGGGAAGCGCCGGGCTGACCCTGGCTCTGGCGCCGGGAACCGGGGAGCCAGCGATGCACACCCCCGCCCTGAAGCAGCGGCCGGCTCAGAACCTCCGGCTCGGTTCCGTGATCTCAGCAGTGTGGCGTGTCTGTGGAGACCGGTCTGTGCTTACACACGCTGCCTTCCCGGCTTCAGCCAAGTGTTTGATTATTTCTCCTCCCTGATAAAGTTGAAAAAGTGTTTTCTGAGGCCGTGGAGCTTTTATTCCCACGTTATGTGAGCAGCCTTCTGTTAGAAGCCCAAGGGATTGTAACAGGGCTGGGGGTCTCTTTGAACTGGCGTTTTCCACCGAAAGGGGTGTCCTACTAGGACGGACGCCGTAGGTGTGATCGCAGTTCATTCATTCTGGCTTGTTTGTGTTATAATTCCAAGGCTTTTCTCCCCACGTGATGGAGAGGGAGCTGAGGCAGAATCGGTGTCTTGAGATTGGGGCGCTGAAAGAGGCGAATTCGCAGGGAGGGTGACGCACGGGGACAGCCAGGGCGGGACCCAAGGGGAAGGAAAACCATCAGAAGACAGGAAGGGAAAGAGCAGTGATCTTGCTAAGGTGTGAAAGAGAGCTGGAATTCTACAGAGCCCAGCGGCTCCCAGTAGGTGTGACACCCCAAGATGGTAGCCTCAACAAGCTAGAAAACGCACTGAAACTTGGTGCAGAGATGGGGCTTGCCAAGGTCTGTCGAGGATGAGCGCCCTTTACCACCTGGCACTGAAGACACCAGACTTCTGTCTGCTCTTTGGGAAACATTTTGTAGCATAAACCGTTATACATAGTTCAAGATAAAATATTATTACTATCTGTGGCCTCATCTAACTGGCAAATCCCTGTGCAACAGTGATCCGTATTTCTGAGTAGTGTTATTGCCGATCTTTATTTTGTTTCTATACAATTTCCATTATTCTTTTGGTTTTCCATTTTAGTGGTACTGTACAGCAACGAAATACAGTCAAGTCTTCAGAATGACAGTCTGTTTATTTTTATTGAGTTAGCAAACCGGGTTAGAATTTTTCAGTTTGATTCTGGAAGAACTTTGGAGGATCAGAGTCAGAAAGACTTGATGCACACCCTAAATTCATGAATGACCTGCTTTTATGTAATTTGCTTTCTGCAACGCACAGGGATGTTTAGTGATTTCACAAGTTTTTGCGTTTGCACACATTGTGTATGTGTAACAAACATGCTCTGATTATGTGGAGGAGTACAGAGGAGGAGGAATGTGAGTTGATGTATTCTCTCATTATGATAATTTAACTGAATAATACACACAATTGAATAGAAACCTAATCCTTATCTATAATGTTGGGTTGATGTGACGTTAATTCACTTAGAATTTTACATTGTTTTAGCAGAGAAGAGTAAAATGTACTATTTAGCCGGTATTCTAAGCAATTAAGATAGGCACATCCTTAGTTATTATATAGGCGTAAACTACATACGGCTACATAGGCAAGAAAGCATTAATTTACAGTGTAATGTAGAAAATCTTTCACATAAGGTAATTGAGAGGCATACTTAGCAGGAGGCTAAAAGAACAATATTAGCAAGTATGTCAACAAGTGAAATGTTTAATAAATTTAAAATAAAGGGGTCCGCCCACTGTGATAAATTTTTGGAGTTGGCCCCTAACTTATTCAGTAACTGCCACTTCTTGCTGTCTGGAGATATATTTGTAAACAAGCATTATTTGACAAGTGCTTTTCTCAGCAGGGATTCTTGGCCAATTACTGCTGAACAGCTCTGCATTGAAAATGATTCACCCGCAGTGAATCAAACTTAATTCATTGAAGCTCCAGTCTGTAATGTCCCAGTAAAGTGCTTTTGACAGTTGTCAGCAGTTTGTGTTTGAAAAGTCCAGTTTCTGGTCTCTGAATGTTCTGTATGTTTGTGAGAACAGGAAGGCAGAGTGCTGCTGGGGAAAGAAACACTCGGAGGGGGCCTGCGCTGCTTGAAAGACAGTCGTAAAATTGTAAATTTTTCACTGCAGAGTCAGGAGGGATAAAGTTTGTTTTAGGGTTTTTTCTTGGTGTGTAATAGGGCCAGGCCCATAAAACAGATTGGAGGGCATAATAGATTTGTAAAACTTAATGGCTGTATTTTGTGGCCTTGTCGTCCTGTTGTAATTCATTTCCTTTTAGATAAATCGGCAGGACCCCACAGAAAAAGGACAGTAAAATCATTCCCTCCCCAGGACTCTCCTGCACAAGAAAAGAGAGTCATTACCCCCATTTGAATCATAGAATGTTGGAACTAGAAGGGACCATGAAGTGCTGTGGCTTTTTGCTTAATAAACCATGAAAAAGAGGGAGGGTCCTGGGTCTTGACATTTTAAGCTCTTTCTTGGATGTCAGGATGACAGGTAAAAGGATTTCATTTCTTCCCATTAACACAGAGGAGGGTAATTCCTGGGTTTGCAGTGGAGATTGCTGCTTGATTGGAAATCACCCTTTTGTGACTTTATCACCCTGTAAAAGATATTAGTTTTTTTTTAAATTCCAATCCACATAGGATATAGTTGATATGAGAAAAGGATTCACTTTTCAATCCTTTGAATGCATTACTATTTTATACTATTATGGTGACTACAAAATGTGGACATTTAGAATATGTGGTGCTCTAAATAAAAATCAAAATGAAATAATAGAGCCGTTTATACACAAACATGGCCAAACTAAATACTTTCTTCGTAATGCCAACGTGGAGAAAATGACAGTGCTTTAGTTATTTCCGCTTCTCTTTACTTGTTTGACTCCTACTGGGATCTGCGTTGTTTAGGGTGCTTTTTCGTGGATCCTGCTGAAAAGTTAATTAAATTTTCTTTCATTTGTTGGAGATTTTCCCGGCTTTGACTGTAAAAACAGAGTATAATGTGCATGGTTGTATTAACTAATTTTTCCCTTTTATTAATGAACTTTAATGTTCTTTATTCAAAAAATGAAAAATTTAATGTTTGTATATTGAAGAAATATCTACTATAAAAATATTGATAACTTCTGTTCATTATCTTTTCAGTTTAAGCCAACAGATATATACTTTATGAGTGAATAGTTTAAATTCAAGTTTGCAGAGGTACTTTATTTGAAAATTGTTATGACACTTGGACAATCAAAATAGCTTTAGAATAATTTTTATAAAGCCTCAGAATTAACTGAAGCCTGAATATCAAACTTATAAAGTATTGACTGCAGTGTTTGCCATTTTATAACAAGTGAATTGTGATTACAAAGCAGTATGAAAGCTAAAAATTTCAATGAGTACCTTAAATGAACGAAAATGCTAATGATTCTTGCTGTCTGAATGTCTATTGGTTGTGACTCAGTGGGGCACAGTGGCTGCTCCCAATATGCTGTATGGGTAAATACATGTTTCTTTGTTTTATCAAAACTTACATAGTAAATAGGATAGGCAAGACTTCTTTAAAGGAGTTAAAGGGTAGATTTTTTTGTACTTATCTAATATAATTAAAAAGTATCATATTCTGTCCCTTTCTAATGCAACTAAATATAGTACCTATGTCCTTATGGTATATAAAAAGGTAGATAAAAAGTGGGTACTAAGTCTTTGTAAACATAGATTAAATGGATCATAATTTTAGAAAAAAATTTAATAGTACTTTTCCTTAAGAGAAACAAGAAAATATGGTTATTCAATAAGATGCTTTAAATACAGGAAATTAAAAATGAGGATAGACATTTGGATGTATGCCTAACAATTTTAAAAGCGTTTTATAGCTTTAAAGTCGTAAAGAAAAATTTTAAAATATTACATAGGTTCAAAACTTTTAGAAAACTAGGATACTTGACAGTTATTTCCTGT